TGTCCCTAATTTTGAGGCCCGATAAACAGAATAAAAGGAGTTCCTGTAATCTTGCTTATGGTACGACAATTAATAGCTACAAGCACTAGCAATAAAAAATAGCCATTCCTCAATGATGTAAACAAAAATATATATCAGTAATACCCCGATTTATGCGTTTCCCGTTTACCCGGTACCCCGCCAGAATCGGAATTCCCACTTTAAAAGGTGCATCTACTCATATACGCGGAGAGCGGCTGGCGGTCTTGCCGCGCCGCCATTTTTGGATTCAAACCTCCCGCCATCCCGCCATGCTCGGGCAAGCGGCGCGAGTAGGTTGAGCAGTAGATACCCCTGTTGTGTTATCGCTGACGTCATATGACGTATCGGACTGTGATTGGGCCACGCATCCTTACCTCCCTCCGCCGCTAGCTGTGATTGGTTTAATGTAATATGACGTGCTTTCCCGCTGGCGGGTAGAAGGCGCTTGACCTAGCCGCGTCAGTTACATCCCTCCCAGCCACACCGTGTATACAGGTATCTATTGTTCAGTAAGAATGGCTGCCGCCAGACCACCACCACCACAGAAAAACCTTCATTACCTGGACCCAGCCGCCCTAAGCCAAAGAAGATACGACGTGCCCTAAGTTACAAGGTGAAGGACAGTATAATACAAAAGTTAGAAAAAGGAACAAGACAGGTTGATCTCGCGCGCCAGCATGGTGTTAAAGAATCTACGATCCGGACGATCAAGAAGGATGCAGCCAAGACAAAAGAACACATGAACATCACAAAGTCTGCAGGTGCTTCAATGATCAAGTATTGCCAGAACAAGGTACTTCTCAAGACAGAAAATTTACTTGTGTGTTACTTGATTCGTCAGGCAAGACGGAACATGGCGGTCGACACGCGGTCAGTTCAGGAGTACGCACGTGAACTGTACGCAGCAGTGTGGCTGCACAGGTTTAAGAAGAGGAACAAGATCACCAACATTAACATTGGTGGTGAAGAAGCCAGTGCTGACCGTGTTGCGGCTAGGGATTTTCCTCCATTCTTACGTGAGATTATGGAGGAAGGACAGTACACCGACGACCAGGTGTTCAACATGAACGAAACCGGTCTGTTTTGGAAAAAGCTACCTTCCAAGACCTTCGTTGTCCAGTATGCCAGCAAGTGTCGGGGCCGGAAGTTGCGCATCACCGTCCTGTTTACCACCAATGCCTCCGGTTCCTGTAAACTCAAGTTATCGGTGATCCACACAGTCCGCAAGCCACACGCCTACAAGAACATGACCAAGCTAAACGTCCACTGGCTGACCACACGTACGTTGTGGATGTTCTCTGCTCTGTCCCTCTCCTGGTTTGATGACTTTCGTTCCCGACGTGAAGAAATTCTGTGAGCAACAGAATGTTCCATTCAAGATTTTGTTGCTCCTTGACAACGCACCAGGACACTCGCCCCTACTGTTGGATCGTCACCCCAACGTAAAAGTGGTCTTCCTTCCTCCCAACACTACATCATTAATCCAGCCCATGGACCAAGAATTAATCTGCAATGTGAAAGCTGCATACGCTGCAAAGAAGTTTAAGCTCCTGAACAACTGTACCAACACCAAGGATGAGTTGCGTAACCTGGGTGACACCGATAGCAAGAGCGATGAGGACGAGGAACAACAGTTGGCGGAGCAAGAAGTTCTCGTCAAACACTTTTGGAGGAAATTTAAAGTCTAGAAAGCTGTGGACTTCTTTGTGGAGGCATGGGATCAGCTGTCTGTAGCAACGGTTTGTCACACATGGAGACATGTGTTGCAAGGTATCCTAGGTGGGAGGCAGAGTCAACCTGTGATTGGTGAGGTTCAGTCTGTTGCAGTAGCAGTGGACCTTGCCTGAGAAGCTGCGCAGTGTTACAGCTGCAGGCTTCTCCGATACCACCAACGAAGACATCCTGGAGGTGAACAGGGATCCTGAGGTGACTGCCGATGAGATGTTAGAAGGCGATCACGTGAGTGAAGAGGCAGGTGGTGAGTCATCCCGAGGAGAACACAAGTTAACACATGGTAATGTTAGGGGTGCCATCGAGTGTGTAGAGAAACTGAAGCTCCTCCTTTCCAACGACCCTAACGATAACCGGTATGAAGTCTTCACTACCCAGCTGGTGCAGGCTATGGAGCCGTACATCAAGGTGTATCACATCATCAACACTAGCCGTCAACAAAACATTACCGAGTTCTTCGCCCGCAACCCACCACAGCCAGCCCAAGCCAGTGTAGTGACAGAGACAGTGATGGTGACTTTGAGGGATTTGTCTGGGAGGCCCTGACAAATGTGGAGGACAGTGATGGTGACTCACCTGAGGGCCAGTAGTCTGCCCTCTGCCTCGGAACCAGCCGCCATTCCCATACGCCGACCCATCTCTTCTACTAACATAAGTGTTAAACCTAACCTTGATTTTTCCGAACATAACCTAACCTTACGTAAGTATTAAACCTTGATTTTTTCTAACATAAACTAACCTTAGGTAAGTGTTAAACCTTGATTTTTTCTAGCCTAACCTGACCTAAGAGTTAAACCTTGATTTTTCTTTTACCTGGTACAGTATATTATTCTCTTATTGATTGTTCTCTTCTATATTATGTGTGTGTGCATACCATCATAAAGTTAACGTGTTATTTTTATTACAACGTACGTATTGTGACGGGAAAAAGTGGAGTTTGGGGGTCGGCCCAGTCTCTATTTCAATTAATCCCTATGTTCTGTTGTTCCACTTACGCGTTTCCCGTTTTACACGGGCCTCAGCGGGTTCAATTGACCGCGTAAATTGGGGTATTACTGTATTATTTTCATTAGGCTTGTCAATACATATACGCAATGTACTGTAGACAATACACTTGAGTAAAGTTAACACAGATGTACAGTATGTCAGAGTGTTTCCATGGTCTCCATTACCAGTACCGGTACAGTATTAATAATTTATAATAAAAAATCAGAGACTTCTATCAAGGTGGCAACTATATACACCAAACATGGATGTTATCCACAATTCTATGCAATAAAACACTTAGAGTATATGCAATGCGTAAGAACAGTAAAGTAAGCAATATCCTTCACTGGGGCTTAGACTATTGAACTGCAAGATTTGAGTCCATGTGACGAACAAATAATAATGCAACTGACAACCTCTATTGAATCAATTGGGACTTGCACCTACAACTGCAAGATGGAAGTCTCTTGTGTTAACCACTAGAACACCAGAAAGTCATATCTAATGCACAACAATCAGTGCAATAGTGGATGTGCAGGAATTCTATTGTAAGTTTCAAGTATTTGACATGAAGTAGTTGGTACCGATTAAGGATTAAACTCCAACACGGATATTGCTTGCATCAATAAAAAGACAATACAAATACCGTATATTTGTACTGTACATATGTTATCACATATCTGTTTATGGTTGAAAGTATTACAGTATTCTGCATACATCTCTTCTTTAAATGCCAAATTGATTCTTAGATTTGTGAGCTGTAAATCCACTTTAATTTTCTAAAAATTATCAGCAAAGTTTGTCTCATGGCTAAAATGTATGAAGACTACTAAACTAAATTTACCAAGGTTTGAAAAATCTCCATATGCTCAATTCTTTCTTTTACATAGCTACATCAAAGGTTTACCATATTATAAGTACTGTACAGTATTGAAACCTTGTCAATTTTAATACCACATAAGTCAAAGAATTATCAATTCCAAGCTACTGTACTTGCTGACAATGTGACATTTAAATTATTGCACAATCTGAAAGTGTCATTCAAGTCCCTGGCACCCCGCTGTCGTGCCCGGTACCTCTCATTGCCAACCTCCTGTTGTCCCTGCCACCACCATTCACTGCCAACCCTCTGTTGTCCCCACCACCACCATTCACTGCTAACCCCCTGTTGTCCCCACCACCACCATTCACTGCCAACCCCCTGTTGTCCCCACCACCACCATTCACTGCCAACCCCCTGTTGTCCCCACCACCACCATTCACTGCGATCATCCTGTTATCCCCACCATTCCCCCCCTGTTGTCCCCACCACCACCATTCACTCACGATCATCCTGTTGTCCCTGCCACCACCATTCACTGCCAACCCCTGTTGTCCCCACCACCACCATTCACTGCAATCATCCTGTTGTCCCCACCACCACCATTCACTGCAACCCCAGTTGTCACCACCACCATTCACTGCAATCATCCTGTTGTCCCCACCACCACCATTCACTGCCAACCCCTGTTGTCCCCACCACCACCATTCACCGCCAACCCCTGTTGTCCCCACCACCACCATTCACTGCCAACCCCTGTTGTCCCCACCACCACCATTCACTGCCAACCCCCTGTTGTCCCCACCACCACCATTCACTGCCAACCCCCTGTTGTCCCCACCACCACCATTCACTGCAATCATCCTGTTGTCCCTGCCACCACCATTCACTGCCAACCCCGTTGTCCCTGCCACCACCATTCACTGCAAACCTCCTGTTGTCCCTGCCACGACCATTCACTGCAAACCTCCTGCTGTCCCTGCCACGACCATTCACTGCAAACCTCCTGTTGTCCCCACTGCCATCATTCATTGCCACCCCCTGCTGTTCCCACCACCAGAGCCCTGCTTTACCCAATATGCTACCCATTGTCAACCTCACCTGCCCACTATCCATACCTGCTCCAATCAGCAAAATGTTTTCTATTTAATTTTAGTAATCAGCCAAACTTTAGTCCCATATAATTTGAATTAAGATGAGTTTCACTAGACTGTACTAATATATGGTTATACAGTGATAAGGTGCAAGTTCTTTTTAAGGAAAGTGGTAAATTGTACAGCATATTCATCAAGAGTTTTTTAAACTTAGCTAGCCCCTTCGTGTTATCTGTAAGCTGCTGTAAAGATCACAAAAGATAACAGCAGCTATCAGATAATACACAAATTATATAATATAGTTCTATGAAACAATGGAATATAACTACACAAAACTAGCTCCTTACCTCAATATAGCTCTGCATGGTTGAATCAGTGGGTCGATCTGTGATGAGGAAGCGCATGTTCTTGTATTCAATTTCTGAGGGGGCGGGTCTGATGCTCTTGGATCTCATGTTTGCACTATTTGCACTCATAACGCTCGTAAAAAACAATCTGGGCAGTAATATATATATACTCTTTTGCAATGGTGGTTTCCTTTTTCATGCAGGGCTTGGAAGTACGGTTGTTTAAGATGATAATAGGGAAATATGGCGATGAATGATAATCTCAAGTGGTTGGCTGGGCACCTTCCACCTTGGGAGACCTCTAAACTTGGGATGAAGTTGTGTGAGATCTCTTCTTGATAATTACAAATATATATATATTCTATATATATATGTGTATATACTTATTTATAAAAAAAGGCTGTAATCTGATATTATACACCGTTCCACAATCACGCTCTATATATACACACACTTAGAACAGACTCACTTTGGCTCTTTACTGATAAAAACTGAATGGTAAAAAGCTTGAAGAGGATGGAGCTAGTGAAGGAAAGGACTGGTAGGGGGGCAACGATGAGGAGCTCGAGCTTCCTCCACCAGACGTGGTGATGATCCCCAATTTTGATTTTGCCGAAATGCTGCTGAAGATTGGGACCTCTCCTGCGCAACTTTGGCCAGAGAGACCACAAAGCAGAAGGGCGGCAGCAGCAGCAGCAGACGATAACGCAGCCACAGAGGACCCGCTTATTTCACGCCTTCACTTTACCCCATCACCAAGTTCAGTCTCCCACTATTCACACTGACACTCAAGACAATGCACACTCAGATTGGCATATGAATCAGGCTTCTTTCTTGCTTATTTGATGTGATATTGTGCCTTGCAGAATTCGCCAGAGCCCTTAAGTAGCTCCATAAGTGTGTAGCCTCGCCCACTGGACAGCTGAAACAAAAGACAACAAATTAAAAACTCAGTTCAATGATACAGTATAAAAGTAATCGCTTGAAAATTTTCTCACCAAATTTATCAAATTTTACTTTTAAGAGAGAAGGTTTATCACGCTAACATGAATTTCTGTGGGTCTGTCTACAGACAGATACACATATCTAGATGTACAGTTGCCTCCACATGAACATACCACAGTCTGGGAGTGAGGGCTCGGGTATGAAGTGTAGCAACGCAGCACCACAGACAGGGTAGAATGAGTGGGCGTGAACAGTGACATTACCTTGTCTGCAATTCGACACAAACCATGAAGAGGGTACGCAAATAAAAAAAATAAAAAACGTAATACGTGTTATGCAGCATTGTTGTGTAGCCACAACTGAATGACTAGGACTGAACTACAGGGAAACGGCAAACAGGGTAATCCATGGTTCGACGCCCATGATTAAGACGTGCATTACCACATCTCTTAAATGTGCCCCCACACACACCTAGGCCATGGTATGTTCATGTGGAGGCAACTGTACATAATTTTAGTTTACATCTCATTGTTTTTTGTCGAAAAAAAAAACCCTCTTATTACTAACATGCACAGTTTTCCCAAATACAATACTGTACTGTAATCTTTTCAAAATAATGTACCGTATATACTCGCGTGTAGTTCGAGTTTTTAAAACCAAATTTTTAGGCAAAAAATTGTGGGTCGACCTCTACATGGGTAATAGTTTTGTTAGGTAGAATCCGTGCATGATGGGAAGGGCGAGGAGTAACTTTTAGCTTCAGACATGAAAAATATTTACCATTTATTGCCAGTAAACAATGGAAACGTAAAATATGTACCAATTAGTAATGAAAAGTTGTGCAGTTCCTTCAGCGGATGAAGCTCACCAACTTACAATAGGCAAAATTACTTTACAACGTACTTTCAGTAGTCTATGTTGAAGTTCTTAGCACAGGCTAACTTATCATATCATATACGGTATCACAGTACTCATTGATCTACAAAAAATACCAGTAATAAAAACCTTTTCGATATTTCACACTTAATATAATACCCGGTAATCCATCTCAACCTCATATTGTTTACAACGATGCACGACGCACCACCAGCTGTTGAGTATCAGCTAGACGGTACACGTGTTTTTTTTAATCGTTTTCAGTTAAAAAACTGTTACATCACACGTATATTTTACCTTAACTGTGCCTGAATGAATATATTCTCGGAAATAAATAGTAGTTTTGCAGAAACGTGATGTATTTCAATGTAAAATAGGATAAAATACTGTACATGACGAAAACAAAAGACTTTACCTAACCTTCCGATGTTCAAGAGATGTTACTCGTTTTTTTAATAGTTTTCGGTTAAAATACTGTTATATTACAATGATATTCTATTCATACTGTGCTTGATATAATACAACCACGGAAATATAATATTTTTTCTGAAATGACGTACATATTACAGTGGAAAATGGGATAAAACCATGACGAAAACAATGACTTTCGCTTTCTTTCGTTGTTCAAAAGATGTTACCGTAATCGCTTTTCGAATGGTTTTCAGTTAAAAAACCTCTTGTACAGGTATTACAATAATATTCCCTCATAATTGACTTGAATAAATACTTGAATGGAAATATACAATATTTTTGCTGAAACTACCCGCGTTTCAGTGTAATGTGTCGTAATAATGGTAAACAATTTGCCTTCGGTGCTTGGTGTTTCAGGCACGGCGACCCTCAGTTTATAGGACGTAGAGTGTTTTTAGTGAAGGTTTTGCTGTTCCATTACCCTCAAAAACTTGGGTCGACCTATAAACGAGGCATATCATAAATTAATGATTTGTTGGTCAAAAAATCAAGGTCGACATATAAACGAGGTAGAATTATAGACGAGTATATACGGTACTAATAATTGTAAGAAAAAAAAGAAAAGAAAAAAAAAAGGGAATCTTTGCAATGAACATAGTTGCATGGTAAGTGAAAATGTTGTAGCATTTAAAACAAATTTAATATTTGACCCTGAATATAGTGGCAATCGTTTTCAGATTTCTGTAAATGCACAAGACAACGTAACATTCCTTATTGCTCTGACCACAGATACTGCCTACAGCTAAATTTAGCACTAAGACGCACACCAACCAGTATTGGCGACAGTAAGAAATTGGTGTCATACCTTAGATTTTTACAAGTACTACACAGCTCTGAAACTACATGTGAACCACAACTGCACAATTACACAAAATTAATTTATCTAAGGAAACTAATAATTCTAAACTAGGTCAGTACAGTACTGTACAGCAAAGTGATGATCCAAACTGATAGCTGTGTATACCTAGGCAAGGAGCACAGTCCATCAGCAATATTATGGATATTACCATATAAACTGTACAGTAATTACTGTACCTGTACGACAAATTCATCAGAATATTTCAACACAACAAATTCAATATAATGTACTGTACAGTATACAGAAATTTCACTAAATACCGTATACAATACAGGGTATATGCTATACCGTACTCTACTAAAAAATTCAAGAATTAATAAATTTACAGCAAATTTTAATAAAAACAAAAAAGTCCCCATTCATAGACTTGGAATCTGAACTATGGCATTATCATTCATTTCATCATGTGGCCCCCTATCAGCAAATGAATGCTCAGATAGAAGAGATATCGAGAAAAGCTTAAGGTCCTTTACAGATTCTCACATTTAGAAGCTGAGAAAATGTACCTCTTAACATATCTTATAGGCAACAGTGTGAAAATTATTTCAGTACATATATCAAGCATTACCAAAGGTTTAAACCAGAAGTGGAGAACATATGGTGACAAAGACAGCTCTGATACCAATAGCAACTTCTGTTTTTTTACCTAATCAGGCTGGAGACTATTTTGGGCATAGCTACCATAAAACTTTACCTGCCAATGAACTTTGATTCCATCTGATTACTGTATCTGATGAAAAAACTAGCTATGTGTTCATGCAAGTAAATACATGCACACAGAACTTACATAACACAAAAGGGCATAACATTTCAAAGAAAGTAAAAGGGTCATTATGAACATGACAAGTTAAGCATCACCAAATTATAACTTCAGTAAAATCATGCATCATACTGCACTGTACCACATGTGATTATGAAGAATAGCACCAGCAGCATGCTTACATATGGTGACTGTGAGACTATGGCATTATATCATTTACAAAAGATAATGTGAACCAAGCTAAGGTACCCTAACACTAACTACCATACTTCTTAGGTAAGGTTAGGTAGGTTACATTAGGTTGGGTTAGTTTGTTTTACCTGTTTCAAAAGAAGTGCTGGGTTGGTGCAGGAGAAAATCCAGAAACAAAAAATTACAAAAACTAAAATCTCTGGTGTCGATACGGGCTATCCCAAAAGCAATGAAAAATTTTCTTCAGTCAAAAATAACTACAGTACTTTAAGTGTGAAACACAATGCTATACTGTACTGTATCAGTTTTGCACAGGTCATTTTTATGAAACTACTTGACAAAAAATCCTCACTTATCATGGCTGCACTTGATAAAATACAGTACCAGCAATATCTCCGTAAGCCGGAATCCCTCAAACCCGGAACTCTCGATAGCCAAATTGAAATTATCTCAGAAAAAAACGTTCCCAATGGCAGAATTTCCCCCAAAATTTCCGGTTTAGGGAACGAAATATTCCAGAAAATCTCGGGGATGGGGGATGTTTTTTCCTGGATTTGAGAGATGAAAATCAGGAGCATTTTCCGGAAATTCCAAGAAAAATTTTCTGGCACCTAGAAAATTCCGGGGATGTGGGATATATTTCTAGATTCGAAGATTATGTAATGCCCAATTTCAGGAACTTCAGATAAAATGTTTCCGCTACCAGGAAAATTCCAGGGATGAGGGATTTTTTCCGGCTTTGAGAGTCATCTCTGTTCACGGAAATCTCTCATTCCCCGAAGTGCTCTACACCAATTGTTCCGGCTAACGGAGATATCACTGTACAGTATTCTTCTAGGGTTAACACTATCACACTATTGGGTAATTTGTTTAGAACCAGCAATTTTTCACTAAACATGTATTTAATTTATGCTTATAATGAAAGAAATACCAAATAGGCTGATACTTCATTGCCACTAATAAACTGATTTAAAGTAACTTATTTTTTATTTAGGCAGAAATTAACTGAAGCATGAAAGGCATACCAGTAGAGGCCATGGCCTACTTGTTGTTCTATAATTAAATTGTAAATGGTTGGTAAAGCTCAAGTTTAGCTAACTGATAAACAATGACCAAGAAGTTCTGTACATGGTCAAATAACCCTAATGCTTAGTAAGCATTATTTCAAGAAATAAAACCAGTAATTATCCATTCCTTTGGGTTTTCTTACATGACGAAGGAAGTACACCGTGGTCTGCACCCTTTGGTGCATTGTCAAAAATTCATCTTACTAAATATGATTTTAGCAAGAATAAACATCCGAGTGACTACTATATTATGTGAACTAAGTACTGCAATTCATTCCAGTTAAAATCTGATATGGTTCAGTGATAATTCCATCAATTAACAAAAGCAATGAGGTCATCGTCTACCTGCACTTTCCAAACCATTAAAAAAGGCTAAGTACTGTACAGTACAGTGCTGGAAATAGGAAATTGGTCCTTCAATCGGATTCTTCGAAATGTCAGGAGTACAATACTGTACTGTACTGTATATTGGTATATGCTACTGTACAGTACAGTAGCTAATTTATTGTCATAAGGCAAGCAATAAGCACACATTAATTTTTAACCAGATACAGTAGTTGCCTTTTTTTTACTGTTTCCCCCACTGGATTTGAATTCTACAGTATATTGTATAGCTACATACAGGTATCCCCCGCTATACAATCAACCACTCTACAAATATTCGCTTATGGCTATGAATGTTCGATTCTTCCACCTCTTTCTTACTAAAAATACTACTGGTACATGTATATGAAAGGTAATGTACCAAATTTATATTTCATTAATTTTTTAATGTGTAAGGTACTAAATTACAGCAGAGTAGTTAGATACCGTAAGTTTTTTTGTGGTTTGTGAATCAATGTAGTTTTCTTAAGTATAATATTGGGATTTTCTTGTGATTGGGGAACCGAATCCCATTTTTCCCATGTGTTATGTTATTCACTATACAAATGGATTTCAAAGAACCCATTTGTATAGTGAGGAATACCTGTACCACAGTTTTGAAACAAAATTTTTAGCAAAAATCCCAAACAAATTAAACCACAGTTGACAGACATCTTTCACATCCACCCTTTTCTTTACCTCAAAACTCAACCGTGTCTCAAGCTTTCAATTAGTATAAGCTTTTCTATAAATCTCACCCAAAATATTCTCCCACATACCTCATCTCTTCCCCTACCACCAGCTCGGAACAAATTAAGTGCATTCAAATCAGGTGCTATAATACTTTACATAACAAAAATAACTTTTGTTACAATAAAACAAGAAAAATTCTTAAGACAAGCAGAAAAATAACTTCCTTGCTGTCATTTTTACTTTCTTCAGGATTTTTACTAAAATGTTTGCTTCAACGCACCAATAGCAGAGCGAAGAAAAAGAGCTTTGATCTCAGAAGTGGTAGGTAAGCCATGACCTCCACAGCCGTGTCCTTGATGCACTTGGCGATTGAAAATACATTCCTAACCTATGTCTTCATTTCAGCAGGAATGAACCACCAAGGACTGGATCAATTACTCAATGACTCATTTATGCTAAAATCAAACATCTTGTATAGTAGTTCATGGAAGGCTTTGTTTTTATGAAGAGCTTATATACCTGGGGGTACTGTACTCCAACTACAGAGCTTATATAATCAGGTACTCTGTTGTCACAAGATTTATAATGATTATGAAATTTGTCTTAAATTTTGGAATGATCCTGTGGTTTTGGGGTTACAGTACAAGTACTCCTCGACTTACGACCACCCGGACATACGACCGCCGCAGTCGTACAATTTTTATTTTCAAATTACGTATTTTCGAGTCCCGACATTAGTGATTGCACTGTGTACTGACAAAATTTTCTTTTGTAATTCCCTTTAAAATGGCTGGCAAGCGTAAAAGTGAGTTTCGTAATGCTGAGAAGAAAAAGAGACACCCATTTTTAATTTTCTATGTATTATTTTCGCATTTTCGACTTACAACCTGGTCGCCAGTCCCCAACCCCGTCGTAAGTCAGGTACAAGATAAAAATAACAGTATTGTACTGAAATCCATTTTTATTAAACCAACAATAACATCACAGCAAATAACCCTGCAAGTATAATACCTGAGGTCTTCAGCAATCTTTGATGAAATATAACTTTCCAGAAACCTAGCCTTCACTTCTAGTTATCTAAAAAAAATAAAATAAAATAAATAAAATAAATAATAATGATAATAGTAAATAAATAAATGCCCGAGGTGGAATCAGACTGGGAACTAAAAAAGTACCGCTACTACTGGGTAAAAATATACTAAGAACAAAAAAATTATATCAGAGGTTTAGAATTAGTCGAGGATATTAGCTGTAGCCCCAGCTATGCAGGCACTCTGTTATTTTTAATTATAAAAGTATGCAGAAGCATGTAAGCCCATGGTCTCCTTGCCATTTTCACCTGCAGGTGATATATACTGACTGTACTGTATATAATATTTTACAATGGATATATCAAAGCTAGTGGTTTGGGGGAGTTTGTTTACAGAACATTTAGTTACCACTTTAGATGCCAGACTCCTGTAGTAAATTGCTTCTTACCTCATTAATACAGGTAGAAAGAAATAGTTAGAGGAATTGGAAGTTCCCTAATTTGGGGCTTTCATAGGTTTCCATGCTTTATATGTTTTTCTGTCATTACATACTGTACTTGTTTACTATGCAAGTGCCAAGTGTTTCATAAATAAACATGATGAAAAACAAGCAGTAAGAGCTTAGATTATTTATACAGTATAATAATAATATTAACAATACTGTATACCAAAAAATAACAAGGATTTAGCTACAGCATTTCTTCTACTGTACTGTTATTTTTATTAGTTCAGCAATTGTGCCTTAGTGACATTTCATACCTGAACAGCATAAACTTTTCTCCCACAGCAATGTAAACGATTTAGTTATTGTAAACAAGATAGTCCCACCAGAACTCCCTTACCTGATCTAATTTCCTATGAGACTTAAGTTTTATTTTATCTTACCTTATTGGGGTGGTTGGTATACAGAGCGAAGCAAGGGAAAAATGATGGAATTGCTGGAAAATGGTAGTCGGCAAAAGTGAATGCTGTACGACATTGGTACATGCAGGAACAGTACAGTACAGCACAGTATTCTTATTGTAAATAAGATAAACTAACAAAACCTTCTTATTCTAGGATGGAAGTGAATAGTTTAGATTACGTTAGGTAGGTTGGTTAATTTTTTTTGAACAGAAAGTGGCTTATTGGCCATAATATTGCAGCTACCTAGGCCACTGGGCTAGGTTAAATTCGGTTAATGTTTCACCCATTGAAAAATTCTCTCTTGTAATGCAAAATACCGAATGAAGTGGATTCTAATCTCTATGAATGAAACATCACAGCCATGCAGCCCGGGGGCTAGGTAGTCACAATATTACCACTGGGCAATTTCATTTCTTATATACAGTATTGTCAACAGAAGAAGGAAGGCAAACATAATGGTCCAAGATGGAGGTCAAGAAGTGGCATGCACCATTTTCACTCTCTTTATAGCTTAAGAAACAAGCTTTCTTTAAAAGAGAGATTTTTTGTTAGGTAACTCAATCCCATGTGATTTAAAAGTATTACCCTACAGTGCATTAGATACCTTTAGGTAATGAATTAGGTGTTAGAACGGCAAAAACAAATGAAACAATTTCCTTAGGAGCTGCTTCAATGAACTGACAAAAACTACCACTGAACTTTGTTTGATTTTAGCAAAGCCAAACCACAGAGCCATATACAGTACATTAACCTCTCAGTGATTCTTTCTTGCTAACAGCCGACACAGTTCATCAGTAAATATCTAAAGAACAGTACAATAATTGTAAATCTACCAAAGCTATGAAGGCTGGGGTCAGTTTGCCATTTCATCGTAAACTGGAAGTTGTTTATCAGTTCCAACATTGAGATATTAACTAAATGTTACACAAAAATCCCCTAGAATGCTGGTGACCTGGAGACCAAGTTTTAAATTTCTTATAACATCATAAATGTACTGAAGTACAGTGTAGTTACGGCAGATTAATTTAATAATAAAAAACTACCCATATTTTTTCTCTACCCCACTCTCCTATCCCCATTGTCAATGCACTTTAAACTATTTAAATACTATCATTGAAATATGTCCAACATTAACAGGCTTGAATCAATGAGTAATTACCAAACCTGTGGAAATAACAAAGGAGTAAAATTTAGATGAATGCAAACAATCAATAAAGATACTTCTAGAGAGAAGACCCGGATTCTAAACCAATTATCAAATTGGAGACACTAACACTACATTACCAAGCAGTCCAGAAGGTATCCCATATAATCATCATAATTATCCACATATTTGCGAGAATAAGTTGGGATAATTTTTTACTTTTGGACATTAGGGGAATCTTAGGAATTTTACCTTTGCCAATCAATAGCTTAGACAATTCCGACACTTTTCTTCTATTACGTTTCTCTCGCAAATGACCTGGCCTAACCTAACCTCTAAGTTCTAACCAGGGACTCCGCCCCCTGAACCGCCGGCATATATAAGTCGTTTGAGAGGGAAACGTCACAGAAGAAAAGTCTTAGAATTGTCGAAATTACCTATGTTAAAAATAAAATCCCAAAGATTGCCATGTTGTCCAAAAGTAAAATAATACCTAAGTTAGTCACACATCTGCTAGCAGAAGGTTGATGACCCCTAATGACAGACTATTCGTAAGTTTTTCCATTATAATCAATTTTCAAAATATTATCTGTGCCATCCATTGTTAAAACATTAGAAATTAGCATATACATATCACAGAATTCTTCATATACACAGTACAGTACCTGGACTTTGGTTTCAGACATAACACAAGAGAATATTCTAGAATGATTCCTTCAAACAAAGCAAATAATATAAGTAAATTTGTATTAATAGTATTACAAAAACCTACCAGTTACTGTAAACTTTAAGAAAACCATCACTAGTAGAGATCCTGGATATACCCAAGCTTAATACACTTTTGGAGTTAGTGTGAGGACCCTCACATATGCCACCAGAATGCCAAACTAAGACTGTTTATCGCAAAGAATTCTTCTACTAAGAATACAAAATAATGCATAAACCATTAGCAGCAGAAGCTATAAACCCCAAGATTCACGTTGAAGAACCTAACAAAGGCACAACTCGCTGGGACATTCCAAGGCCATTCTCTCCTACACAGCCACAAGGTTATAATTTTCCCACTTTTCTACAACACTGATATAGTTTAAAATTACAAAATAAATTTTCTTTTACAATGCGACAAAGACATCATGAAGAAGGGAGTATGTGGTTAGCAATTAGACAAATTTTGATGGTGCACTTGGGATGGCGAGCGAGACGGGGGATGTCTGGCTCATTTTGGTGTCCACTGTTAATCATACTTACTCCAAATATTAGATACACTATTCCACGATAAAAAGCCCTTTTCGTCCATCAATTATCTTTCATGGATACCATGGGAGAGAGAACCATCAGAAATTATGGCAGATATAAATCGGACACCGAGTAGCGAGATTCAGCCATTGCCAAACCAGGGCACCACGACATCACAGTTACTCACCTGTGCGTTGTTATTACCGCAATATTTAAATTTCATGTTTCAATTAACTGCCTTGACACAGAAAAAGGTGCGTCGAACAAGTATATCAAAGATGATGCATTTGCTATGCATCAGTCGTCCACAGAGTATATATGGTTACGAGGCCAATCGGCAAGGGAGAGGCTCTACTAACTGAGCTACAGTGCGCATGCGTCAACCTCCACCAACATATTCGTCGACTTTTATTTTAGCGAGCAATATATCCTCACTTTCGACAAAGAATCTCGATTGCTTTTACTTCAGAAATAAGTTTCTTATATAAGAACAAAAATTTATTAATATTAAATTACGTCTCATTAACGTTTTAATATATCACTGACACTTTCTAATAACAGACGCATGCGCAAAGATAGGTCATGACGAAATGTGGTTAAGTCTAAACGTAAATAAGCAACTAATCACTAAGTGGAACTATACACTGATATTTGAACCATGCTTGCTCTAGTATGATGCAATCCGCAGAAAATTTGAAACTTAATAGACCACAAGACTTATTAAGATATGAGTCACCTGTAGCAGCACAGTAAAATCTTTGTCAGGTTGATTTGTGATTCATAAACTACATAAACACAATAGTACAAGAACAGCAGTATATGAAGAAAAAATACAGTAATTTACCTTATACATTAAACAAAAAACTACGTGAACATTTATGTTTGTTCTCGCCCAATGAACTTAGGAATCTCGTTCGCGATTCCGACGTCCCGGGTTTTCCCAGAAACATTGTGAGAGCAGTGTTCTGAGAGACATCGTTCTGGGGTTGACAGCACGTGGGCTACCAGCCTCCTGGCTACCTGGAAAACTACATTACACCACCTTTTGCAATAACATGTCACTAACTTGTTTCTGAAACGTACATTGTTGCGGACGGGAATAAGAGAAGTTTTAATATGTACCGTATAAAGAGTATTTCCATGTATAATTTAATCATATACAGTGATTTACTTGCATATATATATATATATATATATATATATATATATATATATATATATATATATATATATATATATATATATATATATATATATATATACTGCATCATATTCGCAAATAAATTACCTATGGTCTCCAGGGTTTAACAACAAGCAACCATTAATAAAATGGAGCTTTGAACAAAATACGTTATACAATAGGAGGAAAAACTGACGTACAGTTGGTCAAAGACGCACCGACCTCACCCTGGTCTCGTGCTCCCAATTTTACCTGGCAATACTCAGTAACGGAAGGCTGTATGCAAAGGTGATTGTGATTGGTGGATCTGTTTTCGACTGTATCACTGTAAGGATAATTATTTAACAAACAAAAGGAAAAAGGTTTATAATAATAAACTATTCATTATTATTTAAGGTCATGAGAAATTTCAAAATTTTCGTAAATTTACTTTAGTAAAGAAAATTATATTAATGAATTGGCAACTCAACTACAACCACAGCTGCCACAAGATTATGACATCAAATTTTCTTCATTATTTAAACAAATATATGAACATTTGGAAACTTCTCATGACCTTAAATAACAATGGATAGTTTATTATTATAAAAAATGTTACCTTTAATTTGTTTAATATTTATCCTGACAGTAATACAGCCGAAAACAGATCCACCAATCACAATCACCTTTACATACAGCCTTCCTTTACCAAGCATTGCCAGGTAAAATTGTGAGCACGAGACCCAGGGCTGACTGTACGTATCTCTTCCTGGAGTCTGATCTGGGGGAAAAAATGTGAAAAATTTAATTGTAGTATAATTTATCGCTAAAACATCTACAACCCCATACAAATACGCTAGGCAAAGAAGGCGAGGTCCTACTCTATCGCAATTCTAAATAATTTCACCACTGACACTTAATTTTTGAAGATTAAAATACACTTTCTACATAAATATTAAGCGGAAGTATTCTATGCACCAATTCAATGGAATACATTGGTATAAGTAAATAACAAAGGGTCTAGAGTTTACGTCTCATAGTTTTATACTACAGGTATTATTATTAATCCGAGTTACTAACCTTTTGATCGTATCTCAGTTGATGTTATTTTTTACACTGCCCGATTGTCATGGCCACAACACTATCCAACTCAATTATTACTGCAGTGTTGCACAGGAAACAATATCACGCCAGAATTAGATAGCGTAAAATCCACCAACACAATATAACAAAGGATACTTTAACTTAGAAATGGAGGGCGTGCATTAGGTCGTGGGTGTGGTAATGCTTCACTTCATCATGGCTTCGGAGGACTTGTTTTATTATTAAGCCCATACACAATTTAAAAGAATACTGTCTCCCTCCTAAGGTGGCATGGGGAGAAGTGTACCTTTTCAGTAACGTGGCCCGTTTACCCAAGAAAATACTTAATCGTCATATGCAAAGACCATAGAATGAAGATAGGAAAACTCAAAATATGGCTAATACAGTACTAACAGGGACCTTAGGTAACTAACGCACAAACGAACACACGCGAAACCGCACAAAGTAAAGATGTCAATTTGTTTACACCACGGCAACAGTGACAAAAAAATCGCATTAATGCGTTATTTGTAAGAAAGTTAAGGAGACAGATCGCACGCACACACCCCCAACATACATGAGTATAAACACAAGTAGAACTTGTCAAACACGAAAGGACATTCATAAAAATACTCAAAATTTTTTTTAACCAAGCATACGATTGACAAGTGTTAACGTAAGTAAAGCTCACGGATGGGTTCAAAATTGGCTCGATAATTGTTCTAGGAGACTGTGTGTGAGTGTGTACCCAGCTGAGGTGAATTTTTTATACAAGTTTAGGGATAAATTTAAGTATTGAAAGTTGGTATGGCTGATTTCTAGGCACTTAAAACACTCTAGAAGAGTCTTGTTTACACACACTCACCCTCCCACTACACCTAAAACAATATACAGTAGCGCGTCAACTATATGGACCCAAGAATTGTGCCTTTAAACAAAATGCCTCTCAAAATTTTTAACAGTATATTTCACACTAACAAAAATAATTAGATTACATATAATAAATTAATCAAGTTACATATTATAACTAGATTGTATCTAATAATTAGTTTGAACATAAGAGGAAGGTTAGGTCTCGGCACATGAAATGAAGCTCTGTATTAACAAGTTTCTTTTTGTTGATTTTTATTATTGAAATATTCCGAGACGGTATGGTAAATCGTGACAATCGTCTATATCCAGTGTTATGAGCAGAAAAGAATACAGATAACAAAAGTAATCCTATCCTCTCATATCAATGACTGTGTTGGGTGACGTACTGTATGTACTGTATATGTAGTGAGAGGCAGAGACTTGAACGTATGCTGGCTATCTTGTTTTCCTCTTTGGCAGCGAAACCATCTGACTCGTATTATTGTTGTATAACTAGACCTCTACGCTTCTACAGTATATGAACTAGTTTCTAAGTGTGTAATGACAATGTAAACAGTTAATAATATAAGTTATCTGGTTACAGGGAAAATATGACACCTATGGATGGAGGAGACTGCAGTGGGAGCAGGTAAACAAAGTGAAAGATTACAGGAAAATAGTGTTAGGAATGACGACAAAACTAAAGCAGACAGGGAGTTTAAACCTAAACGCGGTAAAGGGAGGACTCAGAACACGACTAACTTAAATGTCTACTACGCGAACAGTAGAAGTATGAGAAACAAAATGAATGATATTAGAGCCTTAGTATGTACCGAAAAAATCGACATAATAGCATTCACTGAAACATGGATCAACCTAGACTCACATGAGTTACCGGTCGAATACCAAATTGTGGGTTACAAATTGTTCCATACCGATAGGCAGACCAGGAAAGGAGGCGGAGTAGCAATCTATGTCAGGGATAATCTGAAGTGTGAAATAAATAAGGAAAAAAAAACTGAGCGGAATACAGAAACAATTTGGATAGAATTAATCGACGGTAGGGAAAAATTAATCACAGGAGTAATATATAGACCTCCCAATCTTGATAGAGTCAATGAGCGACTTATCTGGGATGAAATGCGCAGGGCTTCCATACACAACAAAGTCTGTATAGTATGCGACTTTAACCTTGGCCAAATAGATTGGATTGACCTTAAGGGTAACTCAGAATCAGAGGATTTTCTCGAAACGATCCAGGACTGTTTCCTAAGTCAACATATAACCGAACCCACCCGGGGTAATAATATACTCGATTTAGTTCTGTCGAACAGAGAAAACCTCATTAGCAATGTCGAGGTAGGGAACGAACTTGCAAACAGCGATCACAACGAAATTAGATTCCAGTTAGATTTTCAGGGCAAACGTAAGGAAAATTCCACTAAAGTACCAGATTTCAGAAGGACAAACTTTGACAGTTTAAAGAAGCAGCTGAGAGAAGGGGTGTCACACTTGGGCGTGAACCTGACAGATAACACAGACCTGATAACGAGATCTGAGATAGCCGAGTTCCACGACAATTTAAATAATGAGTTACTTAATGCACAAAGGCAGAACATACCATACAAAAAACTCAGATCAGACAACAATGACCCTAAATGGATAAATAATTATTTACAGAACATCATTGGCCAAAGGAAGGCTATAGGTAGAAGGGTAAAGCGTGGCGAAATTTACCTCCAGGATTATTATAAGATATTGGCGAGTAGGGTTAAAACCGTGATAAGGAAAGCCAAGAGGAATAATGAGGTAAGGATTGCAAGGGAGGCAAAGACAAACCCCAAAGGATTCTACCAAATGTATCAAACTAAAACACGAGAAAAGATTGGACCAATACGGTCAGATACCGGCGAGCTCACTGACAATGACGGAGAAATGAGCAATAATTTGAATAAATACTTTTCAACAGTTTTCACCACAGAAAATGTAAACATGATACCGGAGGCACCGACTCTATTCAGAGATAGTGAAGAAAACAAATTAAGCGAGATAGTAGTGACTAGTAGCGATGTTAGTAACCAAATAGATAAACTAAAGCCTAATAAGTCACCTGGTCCCAATGAGATATTTGCCAGAGTATTAAAGAAATGTAAGGAAGAGCTTAGTATGCCCTTAGCAAAGTTGTTTAACATGTCCTTAAATACAGGTGTAGTACCAGAATCCTGGAGGATAGCAAATGTAATACCGATTTTCAAGAAGGGGGATAGATCACTATCCTCTA